TAATAGAATTATAGAATCAGGAAGTTGTCATCTAAAGTATAAGTATGTTTATTTTACACATTATTTTTAATATAATTCATTTTCTAATTATTTCAAGTTTCTCAAACATTAATTAAAAGAAATAAAACATAATTAAAATAAAAAATATACTTGTATATATCGGCCAATATAAGGCCATCGGCCACCCTGCTCTCTAAGATATCGGCATCGGCTGTCAAAAAACCAATATCGGTCGACCACTACCTAGGATGACTTGAGGGTGAATAATGTGTGGGCTAATTTTCATTTTTGGGTGAACTAACCCTTTAAAGTTTCATTATTAGTAGACGCTGCTGCCGAACACTGTTGAGAGATGCACAGACTCAGAGAAGTAATCTCTCTCTCTCTCTCTCTCTCTCTCTCTCTCTAATAACTTATTAACTGCATTATTGTAACTGCAGTTATTTATTGCATTAGTCTGCTATCAAATGCTCAAGCCTTGTTACTAGGTCTAAAATGACGTTTTGGAATTAGCAACAGAGGCGTTGGATGAGATGCATAAGAAATTAATCCTACTCACAACAGCATTTTAAGTACAAAAACCGGACAAATGCCTTGAAATATATCATCTGATCAATGTCTTGAGGTGTGGTAACTGTAGTATAAGCGGAATAATAGACTTCGGTCCGTTGAATTCTTAGAAAATAATGCACACGCAAGATGTAACAGATTACTCGTGGGATGTTTTTTGTGTCACTCGCACAAAAAAAATCATCGCGTAATGCTTTACTCCATTTTCTTATACAACCGGACGTGTCAAACTGGACGTGTCAAGTTCTTTGCTGATTGGCTTGTGCGACAATGCTTCATGCAAATTTTCCGCTTAAGTTGACATTTTTAAACTTGCAATAACAATAACACGCGTTCGTGGCAATCGCGTCTATCCGCATCTTTGCGTTGACTTTGTATGTCGTGCAAATAATTCAATTCACTTTAGGTGTGCACAGACTATTAGAGGGTCAAATGAAGATGGAAGAGATGTGTTTTTTGCCGTTTCTTGAAGATGGCTAAGGACTGAGCTGCTTGGATTGAGTTGGGCCGGTCATTTCACCAAGAGGGAACAGTTAATCTAAAAGTCTGTGAAAGTGATTTTGTGCCTTTATGGGATGGCACGATAATGCGTTGTTCACTTGCAGAATGCAAGCTTCTAGAGGGCACATAAGTCTGAAGTAGTGAATTTAGGTAAAGGGGTGCAGAGCCAGTGGATGTTTTGTAGGCAAACATTAATGCCTTGAATTTAATAAGAGCAGCTATTGGTAGCCAGTTCAAACTGATGAACAGAGGTGTGACATACTCTTTTCGGCTCGTTAAAGACTAATTTTGCAGCCATTTTGGATTTGATAGAACTGGCTTGAAGACCTGCCAAGTGATTGTTGCAGTAGTCTAATAGTCTAGAACAAGAGCTTGAACAAGGAGTTGTGTAGCATGTTCCAAAAGAAAGGGCCTGATCTTACTAATGTTGAAGAGAACAAATATGCAGGACCAGGCAGTTCTAACAATGTGGCCTGTGAAATCCAGCTGATCATCAATGACAACTCCAAGGTGACAACAGCGACCATACTTAACAAGAATGAGTTCAGGAATCTGTTGGAAACTCAGAAACGAAGACCAGGGGTTTCATTTATAAATGTTGCATACGCACAAAATGGGCATAGAAATGTGCGTATGCAATTTTCCACGCATTTATAAAAAATATACTTATGTACGCACCGAGCGGACATTCAGAATGGGCATAGAAATGTGCGTATGCAATTTTCCACGCATTTATAAAAAATATACTTGGCGTAAATATGTACGCACCGAGCGGACATTCAGGACCATGCGTACAAACTCTTTTTCCTGGAGTGAGAAAAGTAATGAAGTAAACAATGATTTCGATACACACATTTACATTAAATATTCCTCTCTCATTAATGGAGATAAACACTGAAATTAGGCTACATAAAGTCATTTCCCATAAGTTAAACCAAAATTATATGAATTTAGACAGGCTATTTGTAGTGGATGCGCTTGATCACTTTGTGGAATGCTATGTTTTAATGACATTGAGGAGTGCTATAGGTGCACAATAATTCATCTTTAAACTAAACTGCAGATCTCATGTTATTAGAAAATATTTTAGAGAGAACAATGATCAATGATGCGCGCTTACTTCGATATTATGGCGGACACTGCTTGATTTGGTGGTCGAACGGTCCATCCGGTTTGAATAGGTCTAATAATAATAGCTTACTGTACAACCACAGCTGCACTGTATATAACAACAAATTGGAAAACAGACAAAACATAAAATGTAAGAAGCATTATTTGAGAAAAGGGCATACTATTATAATTCGCGCAGACCTGTAATGGAACTAGCTTTACCCTGCGCTGATGTAATTTGCGATTTTTGTGGAAAAGGCTAATTTTATTAGGGTTGTTGACATGACATGGCATTTTCACTGTCCCATAAGATAAAAATTAATATAAGTAATATTGTAGTTATTTAAAATGCAGTAAATGGTTAAACATGTCTTTGTCCTACATGGAACTCTCGTTATAAAATCTGCAGTGTTATTAAATTTTTTACAATTGTGAGCCAAATCTCAAAATTGTCCTATGGTGTGACTGTCTCAACCATGGTTCAATAAATTACAACGTTTATAAATTAAAAAGAAAAGCATAAAAATGTTTATAAATACCTCTGGCATAATTGTACAAGTGTCTATTTTAGTAAATGGTAATTATTTTTTTCATCCATATATTTCTAAAAGCGTAGGAATTTGATACATTTTGTCTCTAAAAAAAAAAAAGTCCTCTGGTGTGACACCATATCCTGATTTTAAGTCGGGCAATTCCATGGACAACTTTAATTAATTAAAGGACCCCATTCAATGTC